CTTTCTTTGAGACTCCAAAGCAGTGGTGTAAGATGATAAACCCATGATTTGTTTTCATTTTTAATGAAAGCACATCAAAACTATAACCACAGATCTAGGCCTAACCACCAAATTTGAGTTCAGAGCTTGAATCTACTAATGGAATCTAAACACTGAATCAGAGTGCATATTTTTGTTTTTTGTTCCTGCCTGAGATCCCTTTTCTATTGTTCACTGCCTGAAATGGGCTTTCCCCTATGAAGTCTAAGCCCTCCTCTCTCTCTCTGTCCCTCACTCACTGTAGCATTTTTTGCTAATTGCTTCCATGATTTAATCAGGAATAGACTATGAAATAATACAGAACTTACCAGTTTTCCAGCTGGCTGCAAATGGAGCTAAAAACCCCTGGTAGAGTTAGTGTAATATCTTTGAACATGTACTTTGTGCCATGGAATGGCAGGCATGACTGGAGGAAAGGGAACGCGGCCATGGTGCATCTGGACTAGCCGTTCCAAACCATCAGAACAGTCCTGGAGATGCAGGGATATAGATGGACATAAGTTAGGTATCTTTCAAAGTGCTTTAATTCATGTCAGGAATCCAACTCATTATACCAACCCCAGGCCTGAAGGTCACAAAGACAGATTCTTAACACATTCCTGCCCCTCTCCCTCTTCCCACCCTCCATTCCTCCCAGCTTCTTTGTACTTAGGGCATAATTTAGACCCTGAGCTACAGTCTTCACCAAACTCTAAAGTCATATGGATGTTAAGGTTAAAGTGGGCTGGAGTGGTATGGGTGCTAAGGTGCATGGTTAACAGCCCAAGAAGTTGCAAGTCTGAGGCCCTAGCAGAAGTGCTCATGGTTTGACCTACCAGATTCCAATGAAATCTGTGAATTCTGCTAAATATCTTGTCACAAAAAGGAAAGTTTAGAATGGATCTTATGGCTGATTTAGTTTATTTTCTTGAATCAGAGCAGTAACATTTTTCTAAGATTAACCATGAAGAAGTCACTGTCTGTGGACATAATGGGAACAGTGGAATGTACATATGTTCAATGGAGGGATAAAACTCTCTGCATCTCTGTTTCCTTGCACCTGATAGCACAGATTTGCAAACTTCACCTTCCTGTACTAGCAAGGATCACATCACCCATGCCCACCTCTGCAGAAAGACAGGTAGTGTTTAAACCACCAGGCACTGCTTAAAGCAGACGTTGGCTGGAGCTTACCACACAGCTGTCACCAGAAGTCTCTGCTTCTAGCAGCCAGTACTCAGATTCCCAGTCTCTCTGCAGCAAGCACAAGCTCAGAGGTTGTGGAATACCAGGCTCTGCAGTGGAGGGGAGCACTGCAGAGCAGATGAACGGTGCAATTCAGTTCGGTTCTATCCATGCTCTCTATGCTAGATTGGACCTCTGCAAGCCGGATCGACATCTTTGTTATCCAAATTTGGCCCATGGGCCATAGGTTGCTGGGAAGTACCCCAGCTTGAGGTACTTCCAAGGGAATGTGGGGCAGCTATAGTTTACACAAGGGACGCTACAGAAGCTGTTGCAACAGAGGTTCTCCAGAGATTTCACTAATTCAGCACATTACTGAATATGCTCAAGATGCCAGGACCATAATCTTACCTGAACAGCCCTGTCCCCTAGGCCTGGACAGTGTATAATTCCTAATTTGAAAGGATGCCACAGGTCTGTTGTCTAGTTTAAATGATCACAGAGCATTTTCTGTAGAATTAAGGACCGAGAAAATGCTAAATATCTTAAATATATACAGCAGACTCTACACTAGCTGGAGGACACGCACATATAGATTAAAATGACTTTAAACACTCTTATCCCATAATTCAACACTCTTTCTAGAAACACAAAGATAAAAAATATTTAGAGAGAAATGTACATACTTCTCAACGTACATCTAAACTAATAGCTGCCATACCAAGAGAAATACATCTTAGAAATAATCAGTATTTAGAGTGGCTTGGCTTAGGAAGGGTATGAACATTTTAGCTGATCCATACAAGGATGGTGATCAAATATTAATGCCCATAAGTACACATGCCTACCATTGCCCTTGAATTCCTGGGTACATCTACAATTCCAATACTCTGCAGAAAACAGCTACTGAATTTAATCTTTCCAATAACAGAGCTATCCTTCTACAATCTAATAAAATAAGAGACATTGCAGCACAGTTATCACATATCCCACATGGTTAACTTCTTAATAACAAGCCACAAATGATACACTGTTCTTGAAAAAAAAAAATGCATGGAAGCTAGTCATCATCAAAATACATGTAAAGCAAAGAAGCACAAAACTTAAACAGTGCGAACAAATATAAATCAATTGCTGCACAATCCTAAACCAATAACACTGGAACTATATTAAGTATCTCCTATTTATATCAGTTATTGTTGGTGAAGTCCAAAAGGAAAAATGACTTGGGCTATGGGGCTGCTCTTACATAGAGAAATACTGGAAAGAAATTTGCCCCAAATACTTCAAAAATCTTCTACTTGATGCTTCTGAGTTTCCAGGTCACACACATTCTTTAGGCAAATTGGCAATGGTGGATACGATTGTAGTTTAACTTAATTCTCCAACACTATACACTTTAAAAAACCAAAACCCAAGTATGCAGAGTAGTTCAAACTAATATCAGGCACCTTATCACTCATGACAAACAAAGCATTTACAGAGAAATCTAGGTGTCTTTGTTACCTTATATAAATCAAGTTTTACAAGCCACATCTGAAATCAAACGCCTGTCCTAAATTTTCCAAACGCATACCCCGGCAGCTACTTGTATACATACACACGTTGGACTTTCTTGTCCATTTCCACCTTATAAAAGACCTTAGCTGAATGCCCTCATCTAAACCTAAGCCACATGAGATAAATATTTGCTTGACATCAGTACACTACAAACACTTGGATACATACCTACATATCAATCCTAAATTGGAATAATAGTGGTTTACTAATTTTGAAGCATCTATTGTCCTGTGAATGGCAACATACTAAACAATGAAAAATACTATGCCAGTTGCCTACCATATCATCTACCAACCTATAAAGAGACTCACCCAACTGCAACGTAAATACTCCAAAAAGAAAAATGAAACAAACAAAAAAAAATAAGGAAAACCTTCTAATGTTGCTTTGCTATTTTCTTTTTTGGTCACTATACTTCCTTTGTGAGCATTTAGACTATGAAGATTTAAAAAATGAAGAAAATAGAATGTGTAAGCCATGGTATGTAGCTTTAAACTGAATGGATAGGGTCCAGTGCTGTTAACAGAACAAATGTGCTGTTAAACAGAACAAAGATCAGTCACTCAGAAAGTCTTTGTGCAATCTTTTGCCAGACGCCTGGCAGCTATGATGCAGCAACTCTTTTGGTTGTAAAGATGAAGTTAAAGTATAGAGAGAGGGGCATTTCAAGCACTGTCAGAAATCCAAAGGAACTGTGTGAAGAATTGTGCAATCCGAACTAGAATCCAGTTGGGTTGTAGTGAATTTCTGTTAATTTTTGAAGTTACAGATGCGTGCTCGGAACCAGACATTGACAACCATGCTCACTTTGAGCAGTATACTACTTGGCATAAAATAAGACTTTTTATGAAAAATATGTACTTAAAATAGTTCAGGGATCTAGTCCTGTGCATTTGTAGAGGGCATGTTTTATGTATTAAAAGCTAAGAATTTTGGCTGTCAGTCTAGAAAACTCCTGTATTATTTTTTACATATACAGGGTAAGGAATTCCTGTTGTACTGTTACTGTAAATAGCATTGTACTTTTTACATGCCATACTTGCAGCTGCAGCAGAAGCAGAGATTTCTCTTGAAATGGAATGCTGACCCTGTGAAAATCCCCCAAACAATGAGACAAATACGTCTGTGCTGGTCAGTGAAAGAACAAAGCTAACGTTCCAGAAGGACAAAGCAAACAACACCACAAAACCAAAAACCCACTTGGGTCGGCAACTCCTACCAGTGTGGGTATAGCAGAGGAGCGACAAGGGAAAGTCAATTTGTGCAGTTCAGTGGACCCAGCTGCATCATGCCCTTGCCAAGGCGTAAGTCTTCATTCTTGGGGCAGCAGCCCTCCTCCACAACAGAAAGCATTGGAGCCAGCAGCCGCAGGGTAAGCGTTGGGGGTGGAGGAGTTCTCTCCAGACCCCGAGGTGTCTATGTGGGTTCTGCCCCCACTGGAGGAGTGAGCAGTCTCGGGACCCGTGTGTCCCGTAGAGCCCTGGGCATCAGCAGTGTCTTCCTACAGGGCCTGCGTAGCTCCAGTTCAACGGTACCTTTAGCCCAGGGTCTGGAAAAAGCAAGGGGCCTGTCTTATGAAAGCCTGAATGGGCGCTTGGTAGAGTACATAGATAAAGTGAGAGCTCTAGAACAGGTCAACCAAGAGCTGGAGGAGCACATCAGAATCTACCTGGACAAGAAGTCCTCCAGTGTCAGCAGCTGGGGAGCACTGAGAGAGAACTGGGAAACCATCTACCATCAAGTGAGTACAAGATCTTTGACAGTGAAAAAGGTTAATAGATCATTAGCAAATCCCTAGCAGCGATTATTGATGCTGATGATAAATACAGCCTGATTCCCAGGCACAGAGCCCTAGATGGAGGATTTAAAAATCTATCTTCATAATAATTAGCATTATCATTTCACAGTGTGTTGTGGAAAATGCCTATTAAGGAGGAGAATTGCCTCAGGCATTCTTTACACTAGGGTGACTGAAATGTACCCTAAGGCCCTATAGTCTGTCCTGATTAAAATTGGTCATTTTCTTGTAGCTGCTGTTATTAAAGTGAGGAGCACAATTATTAAAAGAAAACTCCTAAGACTGAGTGAGTTTAACCACCAACACGACATCATTACAGGCTTGTTGCTTTGTAATTAGCAATTTAGATTTAACTTTTATTTTCTTATTTGCTTAATCATATTTTCAAAAGCTCTACTTATTTAAAAATAATAATTAGTCACAACCAAGAGCTTCCCTCTCTCATGCTTCCATCCTGCCACATATGCACAACCTTTTATATGCAAGAAAGGCTGCCTCTATAAGACTTTTGTACAGGAAAATGTTTTAGCACAGGACTGTAAAGGCAGTGTCCACATCTGTCTAGTGGACAAATAATTAATACATATGAAAATTTAACATAAAGACTTACAAATTATATATTTTGTTGGGCTAATGAAAGATTGCAGTAAAAATAGAAAGTATTTTAATATTATCACTTCACCTGGGCAGTGATTCCTCCCAGCTGAGGATCTCAAAGCAATTTCCAAGAATTTGTTCACTAAATCTCTCAGCATGCCTATGAGAGAGGTGGCTGGTCAGAGGGAAGCACAGAAAGATTAAATAAATTCCTTGAAGTAAAACAATGAATTTGTGGCAAAAGCCAATAGACCTAAACATTCTAATCCCTAGTTGTCTCCTTTAGCTGTGAGATTATATCCTCTCCCTTCAGAGAATCAGTCCTTTAACCAGATTAGAGGAAAACAAAATGAAAGTTGAGAGAAACAAGAGCAAGGCATCATATACTGGTCATCTGGTTGAAGTGCTTCCTCCCCAGTCCCCCCACAACCGGAAGCCAGGAGTTTGATCAGTTTCCAGCCATGCAACTCATTTATGACCTCTTCAGTAAATCATGCTGCTTTTTGTGCTTTAGTTTACCTGGGTAATACAATAGCAATAGTTATACTTATCTGTTTTTGTAAAAACATTGAGGAATGAGTGCTGAGTCTTACTAGTATATTCAGAATCAGAGAACAATTGGGAGCTGTATAGAGAAGTATCAGTTTTCTTCGGGAGTGAGTACCAGACACCAGTACATATGGTAAAACTGCTCTTCCATAATAGAAAAGCCTGAAAGAGTAAACAAATATTTGAAGAGTCATTTTTCTTTTCACCAAAATGTAAAGCAATGCACCTGAGAAACTAGAGGGTTGTGTAGGCCAAATGTTCAGTGGCTGATTTTTTTGCCTGAACACTGGCACACAAACCCTCACATTTACCCACATAAACTGGATAGCTACACATGCCTGTATAAAACACTGGCTTAATGAATGTAGAGAGGTAGCTAGCAATGTTAGCCTGAAGTCAGGCAGAAAGCAGGACAGATTTGCTTATACACCTTATAAATTAACTAAATCGGAGATGCACACGATAAGATTTCATAAGCAGTGGGCTTGCTTCAGCCAGGTCTTCTAATGGCTGCTATTGATTGATGGTCTTGCTTCATTAGCTCAGGTGTCAAGGAGACAAGTAATGGGGATGACATCTAATATGAATCCTTCTGCTGCCCCATAGAGACTTATATAATAGGGCTACATTGGAGGAGAGGAGAGGAGAACCGAAACCCAAGATCCTAGCATTGGCACAGATGCCCAAAAGGGAAACGGCTCCTTCCTTTTTGCAAAAAGCATTTTCATTTTGTTTTCAATAAAATAAATGTTTGAGGAGACTTACTGGATGGGCACTGGGAAATGGTTTGAGTCATCTAGGTCACTGGCTTCTGTACAACTCAGCTTATTTGTTAGTTCTGTGGATAGGCCTTTGTGAAGTGAAACCGTTCGTGGTGTTAGGCCAGTAACCAAATCATCATCATGAAGAATAGATGCCTTTGTGGATGACACAGGGCCAGTCAGTTGGCCTCCTGTATGGAGTTGCTCAAGTTACTTAGAGCCTGAGTTCTGAAAGGCATTTAGGTACCCAATTCCCTTGACTTCAACAGAAATTAGGCTCCTGAATACCTTTAAGAATGTGGCCCTTATGTCCTAATATTGACTTCACCAGCATAATTCCTCCCCTCTTGGAGTGTTACTTCTGATCTTCCTCACGGTTCCCCTGACTGCCAAGTGCCGAGATTTGGCCAGGACAGTCCCAAGTTTGGTAAGTCAGTGTTGAGGACTCTTAGCAGAGCCTCTTCCAGCTGCCCAATAGAAACCTTCCCTGAATACTGCTGGCTTCTCCTCTCACACCAGGAGGCCAATCCCTAGTTCTGCTACCAACTGAACTAGCCATGACAAGGTAGGAAGACCTGGGAACTTAAGTAGCTATGGGTAAGGGCCTTGTTACACTTCATGCTGTGAGCTGCACAAATGTTGATCGGTGTTAGTGCTAGTCTGGAATTCGGAGCAGTCACGCCCTCAGTCTAGAAACCTTCTCTGACTGTCCCCCACCTGCACAACTGTGACTTGCCACCAGAGGCCTGGTGAGCAGGGACAGGGCTAGGAGCTGTAGCTGTGAGTTGCCACTAGAGGACTAGCTAGGACAGGCTTTTATACCTGCTCTACAGGTGTGGATGTGAGATACCCTGGGATACTGGAAGAATTTCAACTTGGGCAGCACACATCTGTGGGGAGTGGCCACACATTAATAAAACAGGATCCAAGCAGTGCAGATCAGAGATAATCCTGCCCTGGAATGGCATAATTTTGAGCTGCATAACGAGTGCTTAAAACTATTTTAAAGTGTTAATGTGCACAATCCATGGGTTAAGCACTCCAGGAGCAACCTAACATTACTGTGTAAGAAGGCCCTAACAGAGAAAGCCTTCTAGAGATAAGAGAGCAGCATTGTGTAGCTAGGAGAGGACCTGGGGCTACTTCAGGCAAAGGGAAAACAGACTGGTCTTTGGAGACCACTATATGAGTAATAGCAACAAAGTCAGGAAACCCAGGGGTGCAGAAAGTAAAGCCACTGAGAATCCATAAAACATGCATGACTGTGTGTATGTTGGCCAACACAAGCCAAACTTGAGACAATGAAGATATTTTGCTATGCTTACCTACTTCTCACCACATGCCCTGGGGAGTGTGAGGAGGAAGAGAAATAGGTTTCTCTTGCTCATGACACTGAAGTCCTTAGAGAAACCTCTGGTGCTAGCAGGAGAAACAACAACAAAATTTGCTGCTTCTCTCGCATGCTTCTGAAACAGCTAGTGATAGAATAAGCAAGTCCCAGTGGGTGGAGAGACTTCCCCCTGGGACAGGACAAGGTACTCTTGGGGGATTTCAAAAGCAGCACAATTCAATTTGTTTTACTAGCATTCACTATAACCTTACCTTTCTTAAAATGTGCAGTTCTTTTAAAGCCTGAAGGGAAACTGTCTATTTACTATGACAGTTTTATACTTTAACTTGGGCAGGCAGCTGTCAGATGTACAATTTTTCCTATGAAAACGTTGGAGGGGATGAATTTTTAATAAAGTGCTTCGAAGTGCAAGGAAGAATGTCTTGCATTTGAAAGCTTGTCTAACTTTATCTCAACTACATAGTTGATCCAACAAAAGATATCACTCTAAGAAATCCTTGCCTCTTGAATAATTTCTGGACCATCATGGCTATGTCACTCTTACACAATGGTATTTTTAAGACATGTATGCACCAGGTGATGCAATGGATGTCATTTTTACTAAAAACAGCATATGCTGATGTGCAAAATCCAAGATAGCAGTGGAGTGATAAAATTATCTAGTGATTTTTTTCCCATAGTATTTCTTTTTATATTGTTTTATGTTGGTTAATTGCTTTGAGCCCTAGCCTTATGAACACACGATTCTGAGAGCTCCTAGTGAAGCTAATGAGAATTCTAAGCGTGGAATGCCAAAAAAGATCAGACACTCAGGAATCCACCTCACTGCCATAAAAGGCAATAGGTACAAAGATGGGAATTTTTAATTTTTTTTTCTCTCTAGGGGTCTTCTACTTTTCAGCTTAAAATCTGTTTTTGAAGTTGCAAGCCATGTACACAGAACCAACACAGATCTAGTGTTAAAACTGAAGGAAAAGTAGGATGGTGGAATCTTCATGCTATGATTTATTTGTAGGAAATGCAACATTTGAGTGCAAATGGACCTACTAATTTTACAATTATTCCTCTAATGGATTTTGTGCTTTTTCATGCCTTTTTGTGTTTTTTTTAAGCAAATGTGGCAGGAACAAGATAGTATTTGATCATTGGATTTTTCGGTACAAAAAAATAAAAAAAATTAAGCACCGAATTAATTAATTATGCAAATGTCATGGGAAAATAGAGATGTTCAGTTAGGTATACAGGTCTCTTCATCGCTTGGTCATTGAAAAAAAAGAAATAAGCATATTCTAAATATACTTGTGGCATACTTGGTTATTTAGCATAATTTTTCATGCATTTTCTGACGTATTACACAGAAGTCTGTCTAACATGGCATGTGACTATTCTGAAGCACAATTAAATATTAGAACAAACCTGCAAAGACAGAAACTTCTGCAGGCCAAAAATAATTAACCTACTCACTTTGACATTAAATACATATCTGAAGTGTCAAAAGACTGGACTAGAGAGGGTTTCAGTGAAGCATGATATATTTGAAAGGATGCAAACGAGCTGCTCTCAGCACAGTGATGGCTGTGTCCACAAGCTCCATCTCACGTGTGATGATGGGCATGAACTAAGTGCTGTATTGCAGTGGCTACAACTTTTCAGGGCGTCATGCATGTGGATAAGGCATGCTGCCT